CATTATTCTCGTTAATTTCATTGTTATTGTACCGATAAGGTATACCTTGTTAGGCTAAAACTTAGTGTTACCCAAGGCTCTATGTTGCTTAAGATCGACTGATTATTAACCAAAATATGATAAAAATGAGCTAGTTGTTCACATTATTTGGATTATTCTGAAATATGGAATTAGTCAATTACAAATCTACTGATTGTATTACGCAACAAAAATATTTCAAAGTATCTAAATTTATATTACATATTATGAGATGGTGGAGAACATTTGTAGCTCAGGTTCGAACGCTTCAGTTCTATCTGAAGTTTGTGCTGCTGATGTCATTCAAAAGAACGAGGAAAGATCCACGACCAAACCATCTAGCTCAGAGAACAAAACTCCATCAAAAACACTACATATTAAGACGGTGAAACTAGGCATTTATGATTTTGTAAAAACTACTGTAACTGAGAGACTAGACATATCTAGTAAAACGTCACTTTATATTCTCGTTTGTTCTTTTATGTACGACATTGTTAAGTTTATTTAAATTGAATTCAGGAATGGGTAATAAACAAGTTGTCATGACTAGTTAGAGTCTACGTCTCATAAAACTCACATATACGTGCTCTAACGTACTCTAATTACTTTCTAGGAATATCGCCTAAAAAGATTTCCCTGATTTCGTTTTAAATATTTTACAAGGTTCATTTTACATTTAAATTTTTTCCAATGACTAGTGAATTTTTGACCAAGATGTTAGTAATGATTTAGTACAAAGTGAACTACTATATGACGTAACAAGAGTTTCATTTTAATTTCAGTACGAAAAGTAACACTGATATAAATATATCATGTTTTGGATGAAACGATGCAGGCATTCTGAATCTCAATGATATTCACAGTGTTGTATAATCAGAATTTGACTGATAATGCTATAATGATATATGTAAGAAGGTGGTGTACTGCTCAACTGATTGATTAGATTAGCTTTAACTAAATAATTATTCCCTTTCCTTTTTGAATATCTTATTATTTTGAATAAACGGAGAACATATATTGAATATAGCAAAAACAATAAAGATTAGCTCAAAGAAGAGTTCTCTTTTTAATCAGGTCATTCTGAAACAGAAAAAGTCTACATGCTTACAGTTCTACAGCTTGGACAATAAATTCACTACAGTGAATCAACTTTTTTTCTCTTGTAGTTAAGTCATATTAGGTAAATATTACCTTAGAAATATTTCTCGCATCTGCTGGGATCACCGGGTAAGTAATAGTGAGGTTAGACGTGGGGTATTAGGGAATGATGGTAAATCGGTTGATGAGGTTGTGAACCTTCATCGACTGAGATAGTTGGGTCACGTGTTACGTATGCCTGAACACCGGTTACCACGACGCGCAATGCTAACTAGTGTCGGGGATAGTAGGAAGAAAATTAAGGGCTGTCAAACCAAAATGTGTCATCATTCCTTGAAGTCACTAACTTCTATTCTTAGCCATGTTGGTAGATGCACACTACTTGGTTGGGGTCCACGTGACTATCGTAACCAATAGTTGGAGATTCTTATTGAGATTAAAATCGCTTCATATGTTTCTACGTACTATATCCTTTTATGCAATCTTTCTTTTATATATTACCACCATTGAATGAACTACTTTTATGAATCCGGTGTTCATTTTGCAACTTGGACCGATGTATATATGTACCTGGTTCTACATTGTAACTGACTGACTGACTATACAAATCACTAATTTTCTTTCTTTATTTTTTACAGAACATCTATAATCTTTTGATTCTAAATGTGTCTATTTCTATTGATTTAATCACTTCTCTTATATTATATTATATCAAAAATTTGTATTATTATTAATATATAGTTAGATTTTTTCTCTAAAATAAGATATTTTGTTCATTATCTTACTAATATTGTGAATAATCATTATAGATATTAGTTAAGTATATATTTGCATATATATATTTATTATGTTAGTTCCGAGTAATAATATATTATAGGTATTTATATATGATATAGAGGTCAACAAAGAATTTTATAGCCTAACTTCTTTATTTTTGTTATTTTATTTCTTCTTCTTTTCTTTTTTGTAACCAAAGGACAAATATGTCAAGGTTATATGAAACATTATATTTTTTTTACGTTACAAAAGCATGCTTATTGATGCCACGTGGTTTACATAAGTAGAACATTATAATGTCTAAAAACTAAATTTGTAGTACATAATCATATATATGTCTCGTAAAAGTAAAGAATATATATTGAGTATATTTATTTATTTATATGACTGTTGTGGATATTATTTAATAGATGTCGTTGAAGATGATTATAAATGTTAAGTGGCTGATGGTAGCCGAAAGGAAACCGAAAACTAGTTGATGCTCAATAGTATGCTTTAACTATAATATTGAGTGGACTTGTGTTCCCTGTGGGATTCGAGCCTTAGCCATCCACGTCCACAGTCTGAAGTCTGACTACTAAATTATTTGCGTCCGTGTCCCTATAAATTACAGTTACATTTCCTTAACTAGTGCTTACTAGCATGAAACTTGGGTTCAGAATTTCCTGTAGGCGACAATTTGACACATAAATACAGTTTATGTGGTGTTAAATTGCTCAAATTAATGAGCAAATTACAACTTGATCAATATAATTCGTTTAGTTCTTAAAGGATCAGTCAAACATGACAAAGTTCATTGTTTTACATTCGATATATCTGAAAATGTTTTCTAGTTGACCCACAACACACTTCTTGCTAGATGTATTGTTATTTTGTATTCAGCTGATCTGTCGTTTATTTCGCTATTGAGATTGTGATATCTGTGTTTAATTAGGACAAACGGTGATAAGGATTTCCCGATATGGTTATCAAAGTGTGTACCGTCAATCACTACTTATTTATACTAAATTATGATACAAGTCATAATACGATATATTCATTAAGCATTTATCAACTGAAATATTCATTCTAAATAAGTGGAATATGACTAGGAGGGATATCCAGAATGCTCATATCGTCACATCTGGGACCATTCATCTGAATGTGCCTGAGTCTGAATTGATATTCACCCCGACAATCAGACCCTGTACCTTTTACTTCAAATGTCTAACATGTTATCCGCTTAGCTAATGAGCTCACTGATGACATTGATATATTGAGACAATCTGCACAATATTCACATATGATGATTAAAACTGATCGAAATCCAGTCAAAAATATTATAATCCATAACTACTACAAAAATAAAGTTATTCAAAATGTGATACAACTGGAAATATTAATAAGCGGTAAATTTTATGAGCTTTATGGTTTAATCTTAAAGTGTTTACCATCCTTAGAAAAAACCATTAGAAATATAAACTTCCAATTCAGTGAGTGTAAACCAATTTCCATTCGTGTCACAATCTATTTTCAATTTACATTGAAATAATTTGAATGAACTTATTGATTTTCAAGTTGCAACGGAATTTTAGTAGCCCCATATCTCCAATTGGATCGCATGATTATCGCACATAATAATCGACTAAAATCGCGTTGGTAAATAACGGAATTAAATAAGTCAAACACGAGAACGGATTTCGAATATTTCATACAATCGTTGATCCATACAAACGACCAAAGAAACGAAGCAAAATAAAATGATGCGCGGTGGAGATGGTGTGTGAGCCAACTCGATTTAATCAAGCCTTAATCGATTTTTATAATCAAACGAAAACAAGTTACAGATATGTGATGAATAAGATAAGCAACGCATACACATACGGCTTACATAAAATCATTCAAGTTTGATAATCAAACACTTAACAAGGTGAAAATATGACTCTAGAAGAATAAATGAATTGGCCTGTCCGGAAGCTAGAATAAGCTATGTGGGCTAGCACATGACTACAACATATTGTAAAAAATCCCATCATATATTTACCATTAAGTATTTAAATCGGTCTTGTGTTTACAGTTTAATGCTTACAATATTTTGAAACTTCGCTTCTTCTACATTTATAATCTTTATAGAATGGGATATATGTTATTCACCATAAGGAAATAATATTTATGTAGTGGTTTGTTATATCATTCACTCGGAGACATTAGTACTAATTCATTTGAATAGTGACAAACTTTCTGTAAAATTGAGATTGGTGACCGCTTTATCTACTACTTTTATAGAAGTTGACGAACAGAAAAGAATGAATAAACTTAACATCGAATGTTGCTTATTGAAAAATCAATGTAAATGAAAAGTTCTATTTACACATCTATAATTGTATATTAAACCAATTTTCTATTTTATCAACATGTTAACATTAGAAATTGATATATTAACTTACTATCAGAAATGGTTTTTTGAAGATTGTAGTAATTTCAACAGTTGAGATCATGAGTCAATTAAAGCTAGACCACCATGGAAAACCTCGAAGCACTGGATGGCCGTTTCATCCTATTGGGGAATAATTGCTCAGCAGTGCGCATCCACGATTCCACCCTCCGCGAGATTTGAACCCAAAACCTATCAGTCTCGCGCGTGAGCGCTTAACATATACACCATTGTTTAAAGTTGAGTTAGAAATAACATCTTAAGAAAATTCTACAATCTACCAAAAAGCATACATTTTTAAAATTAGTTGTTTGGTGATTTATGAAAAACAAAACAAAACTGAATTGATGTCTCTAAATGATAATCCAGTATTTTAATTAATAAGTAGTCTGTTATTTGTTTATCTGTTTTTTTTCATCTTTTTTTCTACAAATTAATAAAACATTATTCAGTATTATAAACATCAAAATATATTCATTCACAGACACAGTCAACAAAGTACAGTTTATAAGGTATTTAAATGTTACTGTTTATATCATTATTGAAGCTTATGAAGTAGAATTTAACTGGTCAGTGCATACACATTTACATTAGTAGGTTTAACATTAGTTAATTGAATTTTATCTGTTTCCTTATCTTTTATTGATGTTCTTCATCCTATTTTCTTTGTTTTTGTTTTCTTCTTACTATCCAGGTTTCAAGGAGTACAGGAGTCGATTTCAAACAATTAAGATTTTGGAGTGCTTTTTATTGCTCTATATTTGGTTTCATATTTGTTGGTTGTAATATGTCTGGGATAGCCAAACATATAAGGAGATCAGTAGAAGAAGTATATAATTCATTTATTGGATTTTTCTTTTTACTTAAAGCATTATTTACAATGTTTTTAGTAAGTGGTTTGATACAAGTTTGATTCTTTGTTTTTCATTTTTATTTTGTAATTATTTCAAATGATTGTTAATTGATGTAGAAATAGTCTACATTTTATACAGGCTAGTAGTTTTGTTCTAGTATGGAATCCTTCAAAATAGTTCAGGCACGACAACGTATGAAAAGAAGCTCAGGACCTTAAAGCTGCACTGAATAACTTTTACCCTAGGATCATTGTACTAGAATCCAAAGGTTCAGAATTCAAACTTCGGTATTTATATCTTAGACCAATATTACTGTATAGTTTGGCTCCCATTTTATCGGTAGAGTGATATATGTATTTGCAGAACATCTGATAGCCTGCCAAACGATAGGATTCCTACAGAACAATACATATGTGTAGTGAAGGAGAACACCAGTGGGGACAATTGAATGTACTTAAATACGAAATTACAGAGCATCTTAATAAAATCTGAGAACCATATAGTAAATAACTAATTTGCAAAATGTCAATTAATCATCTCAGAATTCACTGTTCCTTCATTTCCTTGATAATCATTCTCTGTTCTCGTTCCCTTTTGCTACCGGATATTTCATTTTCGATTTATGATACATACTACTTATATTTGTCCAAATCAGTAGCATACACAACAAATGCACTCCGTTAAAATGGCATATTTTTCTCAGTTCCTTGTTTTCCGGTTGTATAATAATCAATTGATGTTAAATACAGAATGCATTACAACAATATATAAATCATATCATCAATTCAACTAGTGTAAGCTATCATTTATCTGTAAACCAACACCGTATAAAGTGTTTTCTATAAAATCAACTTCTATGAGTTATTTTATGCTACTTCAATTAACTGATATGAAAAATGACAGAAATATTTTGTATTACCTATATTCATTTTAAAATATATATGTTTTAAAGACAGCTAGCTTGATACTGCTTCCCATTATTCTATTTGAAATGTTCTAAAGAATATTGATCACTTCATAAGTTTTAACGTCATTTAACGTCACGTAATTTTTTTTTACTCAAAGACCACACATTATTAAAAACACAGACATTTCACCAATTTTAGGAAACAGTTCTGTTTATAATAGGGAAGAATTTACCCTTTTAACTTATTTAATCCTTTGATATGAAACAAAAGGTAATATCTCTAGGTAGCAAAACGAAAGTTTTGTTAATTACTAGCAATTGTATGATCAGGGTGACATTTTAATTGAAAGTTGTATATACTAATGCTAGTTTAGCTTCCCATGGGACTGGTAACATAAGTTTTACAATATTTTTAGTCATGATATCTTTGACCGACATATTTAAAGCAGTCATCTTAGGTGTAGCACTTCCTCTTCATAGAGATAAAATCTATGGGGCTTTCAGAGGAGCTATGATCGCTGGAATGATTAGTTTAGCTGACTTATTAAACAACATCATCAACATAAACATTCCACAAATATATCAGGAAATTCTTATTGCTCACTTATATCTGAAGTTTGTACTATTGATGATTTTGTCAAGAAAGGCAATTAGAGCTTCAAAATTGAAACATCTGACCTAAAGAATTCAACTCAACAAAAATCATCCCACTGAACAACAAATCTCCCCCACCTCAAAATTTATACTGTTTCATTAACAAGAATTTACATTTTTCTAGTGAATATAATTGGGTTCAAACAATACGTCTTCATTATATCGGTCAACTTACTAGCCGAGTAGAATTACATTCAACTGACAAAGAAATTAATAGACAGTTAACTATCACTGGTTCCCTTATACTTTTCTTTGTGTGATCGAACTCTTGGACAATATTAATGTAGGTCTATAGATTACAGTTATAACAGTGTATTTGATACTGTTATACCGTTGTTAATAAATTCAGTTTGCATACAACTGAGTATTACAATGACAATAAGTAATATGAAATTAATTTATATATGATATATATGGTATGTCTGGTCAACAATAGTAACTTCAGATCAAGAAGGAACATAGTATACAGATTAATTTTCGTATTAATTGTTTGAAATTAATTGGCATATGTGCATACAGTGCGGATTGCTTCGATATTATTGTGTTAAACCACAAGTATTATAGATAGAGATAGATGGTGGCTAGCAGTAGATTCTAGGACGTGTGTTTCGTGCATTTCTCACAGGATGCACGTATGCCAATAAGAAACTGACCAATTAAGGTCCTAAATGTCAATAAGAAGATTTAAACAACCAATACAAAAATGAATTAATCTTCATCCGATTGCACAAACTAGTGGCTATCTGGACTCCGTAGCTAAGTGAATAAAGCAATGGTGTTTGAAGTGGATGGTACTGAACATCAACTCCGAGATTAAGGTAGATTCATCCGGAAGTCAAGAAGTAGTCATTATCCACGTCTGCTCATGGTATACAGATATTTTAATCTCCAATACTTAACATGATGCAATACGTATTTCTGCTGAATCCTAGTTGTATCTACAATAAATGTTGCGTAAGTTACCATTGAGAGTAAATCACTAACATAGTAAAGGTAAGTTTGCTTGTCTAAAGTAAGAAATAGTAACACAACTTTATGGTTCATAAGTCTTTATGATGTATTTGCGGGGTTAAGAATTATTGAATAGTTGTTTGTTTCTTGTCCAAGTGTACTAATTTTTTAGAGAATACTTAGATCTTTGAAGATTTAATCTCTTCAGAATCATTTATTTACTAAATCGATTCGATAAATTCTCCAGCCACCATAGCCTTAATATTCCGATTACAAGTTTGATTGTATTAAATATTATCACGGAAATAGCTTAAGAATTTGAATGATTGAACACCCTCTGTTTCAGCTTAAACAACTGAGTAATATCATTAGCATATGGCTCAAAACCATGTACATGAATCACCATCTGTTTATTGACTTAAATATTGTGAATTCAGTTGTTTGGTTGGAAAAATCATCTAGAAATAGATCACTTTTAATCGTTATTAGTTCACTTAACTGAGATGATTAGGAGTTTTAGCTCATGAGATTGGATTTATGAAATAAGTAACTCACTACCTTTTATGAATTTTCATACATGAAATTAGATAGTTTTACGATGATTACAAATATTGGTTAAGTATATCTTAATCAAAGCGAATATTTTCCATATTTATTTTAATTCATCATGTTTATTACTAATAATTAATAATAACAGTAATTATCAACATTTATTTTATAAATTTATAGTTGATTCCTGCTAAACCTAAGGATGACACTCCAATGTCTAGAATGGCATATTATCAAAAATTAGCAGTAGCTGGAGTTACACTATTTTTAGCATTTATAATGCTCCAGTTCTGTTTAATACTTGCTCAGTTAAAACGTGGAAATTACTTTAGAAGGAATGTAAGTTGTTTTAGTTATTAGATATGTTTTTTGCTTTTATAATAGTTTCATGATATAAAATCTCTTCTGTCTCTTTTCTTAAACGGTTCATGCTGTCAATGTTAATCTTGATCAGTACATAGCTATTTGAAAAACAACATGTGCTCTACAGTTAAAGGTGCAAGTTTGATTTATGGACAACATTTGAATGGCTTTGAGAAACTTTAGTAACTTTTTAAGGTCAAAATAGGGTTAAAAATTAGTATGAAGAATAAGGATTAGTAATTGGAGTTGGAAGTCGAAATTAAGACTTGAAACTAGAGTTTTCATAACAAGGTGATATAAACTTCAATGTCAAAATGCTAATTAGCTACATGGATGAATAAATTTCCTGTCAATATCTAAGATTCACTATTTTAAATCTGATTGGTTCGTCCATAAATTTTGGTCTCATCCAACTGAAATTTATTTCGTTTTTCAGTGCAGAATATGAAGCTATTCCATTAAAGTCAATAACTGTAATGCTGATATTCTATCACGTCTGCTTTTGAACGTTAGAATACCAAACAAATGAAGTTGTTAAAGTGATGTTGATAGAAATTTAGCAATTAGAAAAATTAATTGATAAAAATCAATTTGCATAGCATACAATGGATGAGGTGGATAAATGAATTTCTTTCAAAGAACTGGATTTGCAACTATGTTCCCCTTTAATATAATAAGAAGCCTTATCAATTAAAAATAAGTAGAAATGAGATGAGTATAAATGAAAATACTAGTTCTGTTTTTTTTTCATGAATGAAACACTTTTTGATAAACTATTTTTCTCTACCAACTAAATCTGCAATTGTCTTCTTTTATCAGTTAGGCCTAACTTTTGAACTTAAACAGTAACCAAAGATATTTTAGCCAACCAATTTATTTGTACATTTTTCTACTTGATATGTATATCACTTAAAACATAGAAGAACTACAACCATGAATTCAACTACAGAATTACAAAAATGTCTCTTGTGTGATAGCAACTCACTAAAAACAATGGTGGACGGCGGCGTGATTTCTCGAATTGGTTGAAGTTAGACATTAACACCGTTGAATGCCGGCCGGCTCAGTGGTCTAGTGGTTAGGCGCTTGCTCATGATTCTGTTAGGTCCTGTGTTCGAATCTCGCGGGGGGGTGATCGTAGATGCGCACTGCTGAAGTGTCCCATACCAGGACAAAACAGCCGTCTAGTGCTTCTAGGTTTTTCATAATGGTCTAACTTCAATTGACTCATGATTTCAACCATTCAACTTACTATAATATCCACAAAAATCCCCTTCTGAAAATACATATTTATTAAAAAACAGAATGAAAACTATTCAGAATATAGATTTCATCATGTAAATGTTTGAATGGATAAAATAAAATGTTTATTTCTTTAAATTAAAAACAAAATGAGATTTTTGACTATAGCTAATTCATTCATTAAATCATTAATTATTCATTGAAATGGATAAAAGAAAGTTTATTACTGTACAACAGACGTATTCATCTTTAGTTCAACTGAAATTAAATTAAACATAAAGCAGATTAATGCGAAGAAAATATTTAAAGCAATACTAAACATATATATGTGAAAATTATATTTGAAATAATCTCAGCGATTGAAATTTCATTAATTCCAACGTTTTGTCCAACTAACTCGTCTGAACTTCTTCAGAGTAATAATCAAAATCAAAATCATCAAAGAACTATATAGCTTTTTAACAATCAAAACTATACTGTGTTAAATCAATCAAATTTGGATGTTGATTTTTGTAAAATAGGATATATTTCATTGATGATTTTATTTTGACTATAACTTTGGAGACGTCCAGACAAGTTAGCTGTACGAAACGTTGGAATTAATTAAATTTCAATCGCTGAGATTATTTCAAATATATTTTCCACACATAATGACTTCTCTATACTCGGCGCCCGATTTCTGTCAAACTATTCGTTTTAATCTTGACGAATATTTGTATAAATACCAAACATATATTTGTTTTACTGAATCAATATATATATATATATATATATATATATATATATATATATATATATATATATATATATATATATATATATATATATACAATTCGTCAAACCAATCAAATTTCAGACCAAAAAACGTGTCTAAATTTAATCATCTTATAAAAAATCAACTAGATAACTATTGTTAATCAAGGAGCATTCAATATCTGTTTTCTATTAATTCATATATTATTATTATTAACAAACACTTTATCACCTTCTACGAGATCAAATCTATATTCAACACTGTTCACCAGTTAGAAGTTAGCAGTCTAGTAAATCAATATCTAAATAATGTATATTTTTTTGCTACATGTTGCCAGCAACCACGATATCTGTAATTAGGTCTTTTATAACTTGTACAACGAATGGTTGTACACTTTTCAGAAACGCACAAAAATAGATAACGTGTTTAAATATCTAGATGACATGAACAGGTAGCCCAGACAAACAAATAATATATTTGTAATATTCTAGAGAGTAGAAAAATTACATTTTCTGACATTTCGTGACTTAGTGTAAGCCACTTCATCAGAGAATTCTCTGAATCTAATTTTTCTACTCATTGGGATATTACAAATGTATTATTTATTTATTTATAAAAATCTATTCAGCGCTCAATTTATTCGAAATTATCAAATCAAACCTTGGTAATGATACCTACAGGTAGCCCAGATGTTCAAGCACTGATTAGTATTTTCAAATTTATTATATTACAATTCAATAATGGTTTTAAATTTCATCCTATTTAAAATTATGATTATACTTCATTGAAGTAATGCCAATGAAATCTAAATAACTATTCAAGATTTCTTAATTCAACGATACTTACTTACGTCTGTTACTCCCAATAGAGCATAGACCGCCGACCAGCATTCTTCAACCCACTCTGTCCTGGGCCTTCCTTTCCAGTTCTATCCGATTTTTGTTGATTCTACTCATATCTATCCCCATTTCTCAGCGTAATGTGTTCTTTGGTCTTTCTCTCCTTCTCCTCCCTTGACCTTGAGGATTCCATGTGAGTGCTTGTCTTGTGACGCAGTTGGGTGCTTTCCTCAATATGTGCTATCCACCTTCAACACTTGTTCCTGATTTCTTCCTCCGCTGGTATCTGGTTTGTTCTCTCCCACAGTAGGTTGTTGCTGATAGTGTTTGGCCAACGGATCCGAAGTATTTTGCGTAGACAACTGTTTATAAACACGTGTATCTTCTGGATGATTGTCTTGGTAGTTCTGTGAGTTTCCACCTCATACAGTAGAACTGTGTTGACATTTGTATTGGAAATTGTGACTTTGTTGTTGGTTGACAGTTGCATTCAACAATAGTTCATCGTTAAAATCATCTTTAATTTGTATTAATCTTTTACGATTACTTATCGATATTTAATTACTTGTTATCTCTTTCAGGATATTAAACGATAATTTTGTTTTTCGTATTTATTACCAATCTATGTTCCGTCCTAATAAAAAATCAAAATCTCCTTATAAACATCTACACTATTTTGCATTTTTTTAAAAAAACTAGTTTGTCAACAATTTTTTTTTAAAATATTATTCTATTTATTACGTATATATATAGATTAGAAAACTTCTAGGTGCTTTAAATGTCCCGCTTGGTATGTTACTTATTACTGGATTGGAAAGAATATTCTTTAGAGGTTATAATTTACCTACTGTAAATATACCACCATCAAATCAAGTTAATGCATCGACATGGGTTAATCCACCGGACTTTGCACGTTTACAAGATTATAGTAAATCTACACCAACACTTATTCATGGAACTTCAATAGCTATTGGGGTGGCATTGGCTATTATTATATTTACAGAAGCAGCTTTGAATGGGTAAGTATTGGAGTGATTATTAAATATGATTATTTTTTATCAATCATAGTAATGTGTTTTTTTTGTACTGATTGATTGTTGAATAATGAACAATATAGTGTTTTTCTAATCTAAATTACTGATCGAATTTTGCTAGTCATTCTTACTGTGACCAGCAGTCTTATTAATTCATGAAATCTCGGGAGTTCCATAGGCACTAATGATTAAATAAACACTGCATATTGATCAGTCTGCATAATCATCCAATGCTTATGGAAGTGGCTCATTAACAGCTCAAATAACTTAACAGCAAGATTGAGTGAGGTGGGTTCGAGTTCAATGAACAGAATTAGTTTCCTAAGGGTTTTAAGCATTCCTTGGATATGAATGTCAACTAGCTGGAAACTTGGGTTAAGCAGAGCTTCTTTCAGATTACATACAATTAACCAACAGTTTCTTGAATGATAATTGATAAACTTTTTTCACTATGAAGTCGAGGAACACATAATATAAAAAGAAATCACAGAACATGAATTACAACATACAAGTTAACAGAAACAAAGGCTATGTTAAGTATATATTTGTGAGCACTGAGTTACATGATTTCGTCATTATTACACTAAAGTATTTCAGATTAACACTTTGGATCAATTCGTTGATAGATTTTTCTAACATATATTCCTTATCACATTGTCTACAACGATAATATAAACACATCTAATACGGTGAGTAAATGAAAAGAATTTTCTAGCTGTGTGAAGGAACGCAGACACTTCAGTTCATTCTTTAAAACTTTCATCAAAATATAAAATGTGTTTACTGTTAAAATATTCACAATACAAAACGATCTATTCCATTGGTCGAAATCTGAAATTGCTAAGCATATTGAGAATGATTCCTACTTTCAATCAGTTTGGACATGGACAAAAAAATCATGTAAACGTAGATCAGGTTAGCATAGCAAACATTCAGTATCCGGATGGATATAAAGATCAATAAGTGATTAAAAATAACTAATCAACAACATGATCAACATATACAAAATCACTCTAAAATGCCTACTTATGTTTCAAGTAAATACTTATGAAGTTATCCAGAACGAGTACTAAAGTTTCTCATATAAGTGATATAGCTCTGAAAAAACAATATCACCAATGCTATTTACTTGAGCTACGTATTTTCTCTATCATCCACTTATCATAGCAGTAAAAGTTTTTGAAATCATGATATATTCCACTTTAACTTTAAGCCATGACTAACGAAAACCAAATTGTGAGGTAGTCTAAGAACGTGTACTATACTAGGTAAGAATAACATAACTGAGGTCGCAAACACTATTCAGCTCACCATCCTCAGTATCTCATCTTCTATAAGAGTCTAAAAATTACTTAATTCTGCCTCATTTTGAATTATTGGAGTATAATTCTGTATAATTTCTACCTAGAACGAAACAGATCTAACAATATACACATATTTTTATTTTATTTTCTGAATAAAATTAATTTCTCATCTTTGTCATTATGAGTTATTCCATAACAAATCTATCATTTAAATTAATGGTGGTAATTTTTCTTTTCTTTTTTTCTTTCTATCATATATTGTTTTTCTTAACGGAATTTACATTACACGTCTGTATAACATTTGTTTTGTTGAATTAACGATGATGATCAGTAGTAATGCTGAAAAAATCGTCTCTTTCTCTTTGTCTCTCCCTATATATATATATATATATATATATATATATATATATATATATATATATATATATATATATATATATGCATTAATCAATAGTAGTTAAGGTTATTATTTACTTTGATTTTGATTCACGTGATTTACTCATGTGGATAGTTAAAAAAAGTAGTAAGCTACAGTTTGAAAGTGTGTACTATTTAACATACAAGTATATAGAAAAAAAACGATTATGTCTGCTAAATATCTTTTTCTTTTTGTTGTTATCGTTGTTTTTGTTGTTGTCCTAATTCAATGTTCATTTCGATACACATATATTTTATGTCATTTCTTCAATAGTTTATCATATCAATATCAGTTTATCATTCTTATAGTCTTTATTTATATGCTTACGTATAATTCACAAATTTACTGTTTGTTACAACTTATGAAATGATAAATTCACTTGGTATTGTTTGACTTGTATCTTCCCATTGAGGTTTAAGACTGCAATTGATCAGTCTGTTATTGGCATATGTGCATACTGTGTGTATGCCTCGATATTGCCTTAATACAATACTAAGTGAATTTAAATTCACCGAATCGCACAAGCAAGTGGCTATCAGGACACACTAGTTTGAGTAGATAACGTGATGGCGTTTGAAGCGAATGGTACTGGGTTCGAGTACCAGAGTAAATATTAACTCTGAGATGCAGGTACATCCGGCTGACGAGTCTCAACTAGGGCGAAACGCGTGTCCTGGATTCCACTGCTAGCCACTATCCATTATTGCTTACTGGTGAAATGATAATTTTATAAAGAAAAAAAATAAAACAGAGAGAAAACTTAGAATGTAAAGATAATCAATGAAATAATTTAAGTTTAGTAAGAACCTAACTAAAATTGAACTGAATCTTTTTTCAAGAGTATTAAATTATGCCAAAACACAAACTCTGTGCTCAACTTAAACGGTTCTAATTTAGGAAATAGAACAAATTATATCAAAAAGACAAAATACCTCAAACGGTACAGCCTGTGCTATACGGTCAAGGATTTCCCTAACACAAATTAGCGTGCTAAACAACAAAAGAAACAGTTAATACAAAAGAGTTCAATACCTGAGAATCAATAAAAAATAATCTTAACAAGATGGGATCAGATATTTATCTTCAGGGATTCCAGCAACCTTTCCAAGCAGACAGTTAAAGGTTAACAGTTACATGCTGGACTACACCGTGATCTTGAGCCTAGTCAAGCACGACCTTATTGTCAATAGTCCGGCAACATGCACTAGAAAATTAGTCACATAATAAAAAAGCTCAGACGAGGAAGACAGAAGGACATAAAATGTGGTCAAAAAGAGATCTGAATAAAGGTTAAAATACACGACAGGGAGAAGAAACAAATAAATGACTGTACTGTCCAACAAAAATGCTGTGGAGGGATTTTCAGCCCTTTCTTTCCGTTACAATAAGTGTTCCAAAAATTTTGAAAAAAATTCACAGCTTTCCTGTAGTTCATGAAAAGAAAACCATCATCTTGATTATCGAAAAACCTATGGTTAATGATTGTGAACGATATTTGGATTTAAATTGATATATATAACTTATAACCCTGACAAATAACATTCGAATATTAGCAGTAATTGTTGAAGTATTCTTTTCTAATAGCTAAAGTAAATTTCGATCCGTAATAAAAATATGCTTGATTACTTTAAACTAGATCTTGTAGCATCCTACTGATTGGTATCATCGGCGGCCTGCTTGAATATCTAGGCTACCTGTTCCTCCCATCTAGATATTTCGTCAAGTTATCTGTTTTCTTGTTTGTTTTAACACACTATTATGTCTATTGACCTCACAACCTATTCAGGCGCGTTTATGAAAAGTTTACAATCTTTCGCTGTACGGATTACAAAAAGGTACAACCAGCGACATCATGGTGGTTTGCAATATGCATTTAAACGAATGAACATTATTCAGATGTCGATTATCGAACTCCTAACATCTAACTGGCCATCACTCAATATTTATCGTCAGGATAGATCAAGATATAAGAAAAGGAAACTTGTTGAAATACTTTATGCTGAGAATTCAATAGTGTACCACAAATATAATGTTGAATAAAGCTTATAATAATATCAATATATAATAATATCAATATAATATCAATAACTTTCCAACACTATTTCACTGTTATTCAAAGTTGTGTATTCTGTAAAGTAGCTATTAGGTACCTGTCTACTAGCACTCACTTTCATGTCTAAAATGCATCTAAAAGAAGTCTGTAATTAATGTAACATAAAATAATTCAAGGATTGAGGCATGTTTCACAAGCCAGTTAGTTTTCTCTGAATTTCGAACAATGTAACGTCAGTTTCACATTGAAATTACACAACTCAAAACTAAACTGAACTTTTTTAGATTTATACAAAGATGGACTAAAATATATTATTATTTATGAAAGTGTTTGTGAAAGCAACTGTAGATCACTCAGCTATTTCACTAAGTGATTCAATGATAATGCTCTGTTACTGAGTAACAAATTTTCATAAATCGATTTGTACTGTGTATACCTATTGAAGTACAGAAGTACAGAAACAATGGTAACATGAATAAACTTATATATTGTTAACAAGAAACAAAACACATTTATTTATTATTCTTGAATTCTAGTTATCAAAGTATGTCTATTTAGCAATTCAACATGATCCACTCCCCCCCCTTCAGAAGAAAATGATCAATGAGATTGAATCATATTAGAATGGTTTGAAAAAAACAAATGATTTTCTCAATGACCTCTTACATGTGTTCAATTCATATTTGTCAAGTGAATGCAATAAAATTTGTGTTTTTGACTAGATTAATTATTACTTTTACTTTACTGTCAAATATTTTAATCTTCATTTTTGAAAAATAAATTATTATGAAGAATTTTAATCATTTTGTTTAGTTTTGTTCAAATAAGTTCAGTTCATCTTCATTCAGTACAAACGTAGAGTTTCTATAGAGATCGGTTTAATTTGTAAGTGGTACTTTCAACAGATTGATCTTAGCTGAAAGTTCTACTTGTACTTTTTGAGGATTTCTATAACAGAAAAAAACAGCTGTTCAGAGTATCATGGTTTGAAGTGATATCTCAGTTGAAATCAGTCTGTTATAAAAATCACTTACAAAACAATTAGCCAATCTGAACAAAATATATTCAATAATTATTTAGATGTATCCTCTCAAAAGACAGACTTCAAAGTAAGTTGCTCAAGTTCTAGTGCAAGGTGATGACTGATGAAATTAAAACAATGGTCTTTCATAAATTGAACATATTTTCATTTCTAGAATAACTGCTATCTTTTTATCAATATGTATGTATATATAATGTGTTGAATTTTATCACATCACTTTTAGACCACCAAACAGACTTTAAATAGTTTGCATCTCCAAATTCAGCCAACAAATGATGTTGTAATGAAGGAGAACGCAACTAGGGACAATAAAGGAACTTAATAAAATTCGAGAACCATACAGTAAATACTTAATTTGCAAAATATCAATCAACTGTCTTAAAATTAATTGTTTCTTTTGTAAATATCAGTCACTGTTCTTTCGTTTCCACATCAATCATTCATTGTTCTTGTTCTCTTTCCTTTGATCTTCTTAACCTTCTGCCACCATGCATTTTACATTCGATTGATAGTACATACTACTTACATCTGTCGACATTACTAGCGCACACCGCATATTAGTCTAATAATTATCATATCTTAACCGAAAAACCTAGCTCATACTCAATGTTTGGGCTCTATTTGTCATGGCTTGTCACCTAAACTTCAAGAATCCATATTTAAGTTAGTCACTCATAGACTCTATTTACTGAACGTATTTATTATCAACTAAACTGTAAAATGCCAATACTCTCTCTTGAGTAGTATAATACATATAACATTCGTTTTAACCATGTAATAAAATGCATTTAAACTTATTTCTATCTCTGATAACAGTTGTCAATTCCTTACATTTACACTAATTTCTATCGAGATACTTGGAACATCCGAAACATGAAGACTTTAAAAAACAATCAACTAAGATATTTCATTATGTATTACATAAAAAAATATAAAAAATCATTCGATCTAATGTTTGTTTTATTATCATTTCAAATATCATAATGGTGGTTTGACTTTTTAGTCAAATGACCAACAATTTACGAGGCAACGGAACGATAAATAGTAGTTTACTAATTTTTTTCCCATGAAGTAATCTGTGCAATTATATTTTATGATAATATTCTGTATTTCTTATATACTCCATTTTTCACTGTATGATCTATTTTTTTTTTATTTTTCCTATAAAAAAAAGTCTAACAGCAATGAAAAATAAAGCTGTGAAACCGAATATTTTTGTCATGGATTTGGTATTGTTACAAATTATTTTTCCTATTATCAGTGGAACAACTGGTTGGCCATTTATGTCTGGTACAACAGTTAGAACACTTAGTAATCTTGTTGCCCTAGTCAAAATGGATCAAAGTCCTGCACCTGGTATGCCTCACAAGTATGTGAAACATAAAAAAATGATATTGTTTAATAAATATATTTATGGTTGAATAAAAATAATCAGTGTAAATCATTCTATTATCAAATGATTTATGGTAATTTGTCCAGTTTGAACTTCGATTTTTATTTCCTGTTTATATTAAGTGGTGATAATAATTTTTATAGGAATGTTTTTTTTTAATGCCTCTTCTTGTACTATTGTTAGTTGGCAGAGATTTGTAAGCATCTCACCAAAGTTGAAATTAGATTTTAAGATATTATATGTGAAAATTATATTTGAAATAATCTCAGCGATTGAAATTTAATTAATTCCAACGTTTTGTCCAACTAACTCGTCTGAACTTCTTCAGGGTAATAATCAAAATCAAAATCATCAAAGAACTATATAGCTTTTTAATAATCAAAACTATACTGTGTTAGATCAATCGAATTCGGATGTTGATTTTTGTAAAATAGGATATATTTCATTGATGATTTTAATGTTGACTATTACCCTGAAGAAGTTCAGATAAGTTAGCTGGACGAAACGTTGCAACTATTTTGAATTTCATTCACTGAGATTATTTCAAATATAATTTTCACACATAATGACTTCTCTATACTCGGCGCCCGATTTCTGTCAAACTATTCGTTTTAATCTTGACGAATATTTGTATAAATGATTTAAAGATAGTTCTTTAGAGAAAATCTATTGCATTGCATCCTTTTCTTAATATTTACTGAAATAGTTCTTATGTTCATGATGAGAAGATTTATTTCACCCAAATCTCATTAGAATCGATTATAAACCTTTCCGTGATACATATCTAATCGTGTTACTTTGCTTCATGATGTTTAATTCAAGCATAATATTTTCGTGCATTAATTATTCATCTCTGTGAAATAATGACAGTGAATAGTTATAAAAACTTCAATCCATCTGAAACTAGATACTTTATTATTAATATTATGGTCAAATGATTGAATTATGTTATTAAACTAAAGATTTGGAAGAAAATTTAAAAAAATAATAATAATGGCTTATATAAAATGCAAAGCATAACAGCATAGTCATTAACAACTTGAATATTTTATTCTCAGTAAAAGTAAGTATAAGCGATTTTCGGGTGTGAACACGTTGATGACTTTTCTGGAAAGAGTTTAACTATGTCTAATATTAGGATTATCTTTGGAATTTTCTCACTCAATTTATCCCGTATCTCTTTCTTTAATGCCTGATGTTAAACTAATTTTAATATATAATGAATTCTTAGTGAGTCACTACATTCTTATGAAACCATATGTTAACAGCGCATAATGAATATTCTTCTCTGTGGTACTGAGGAAACATGTGAAATAATAGCCCTAGAAAAAAGTATTCTATATTCCTATAAACAAAAGGATTTTATTTACTTCGAGGACTGCATAATGCGTTGATATTCCTATCTTAAATATATAAACTTTTCACTGTTTATTGTATAAAAATATTTAAAATGCTCTCATTCCTTCTATCCCTTTTCACCTTTGTGGAACGATATACTTGTTCATTATTTCCAAGTTCCTACTTAGATAAACCAAAAAAATGATTTCCATTTTTGAAGTAATGATATACTAGAGGACAATCTGTTTTCGAACTCTAACTCTAAGGATTGAGCATTAAGCCATATGTATTTATCATTGAAAATTATGCGCTTGTAGTATTGAATTATCAGATATCCTTTCATTATGCTGTATTGACAATTCATTCAATTTGTCTTACCCAATTTACCAAACCATACCGTCATTAATTTTTACGTGTGATTCTATCATCTTATAAAATTCAACTATAAAAATTGGAAAAAACGAGACAATTTTTTTTCCCACTGATCATGTTGCTTTTGTATTTTCTGCACATCATGATGATAGTGTGCCAAAGTTTTAATAAACACACATTATACTCCACATACACAAAAAAAACAGTTACTTATACGCTATTAAATAAATATATTGTTGGTGAGTTGAATTTCTAACTGGACATTACTATATATAATCAAACATACCCTAGTCATGAGTGATTAACAATAATCGTTATTTCGATACTTTGTTATTGACGTGAACATGTGTATATATATATATATATATATATATATATAAAGTTTTCATAATCACTGCCCTATTCATTGCAAACGCGGTTTAATAAAGATCTTATTCAATAGAATCAATCGTATTTGTACTAGTGATACTATTGAAGTCGAGATGAAGCTCCTGACTGATACGTTAATGAATAATGGTTATTCTTTGGAGTTCATAAACCGCTGGAAGGGTTGCAATACGATTAGACCTGTGACGCTTCTGGCACCCAAAAAGCGAGTTTATATTACGTTACCATTCAAAGGCGACACAAATAGTCTCATGTTGAAACGGAGACTTAAATTAGCTATCAACCGGACATTTTATGCAGCCCAACTTGTCATTACCAAAAAGACAAAGTTTATGTTTCACCAAAAGCCCAAACAGCACGAAAGCGATTGTGTCACATCCCATTGTGCTTATCAGTTTACATGTATGTGTGGAAACACGTACGTAGGGAGGAGCAATCATGATTTGCAATCAAGGGTGGGTGAACACATACCAAAATGGTTGCAAAAACAAATGGATTCCAATGGTCAAATAAGATCACAGGATAGACAGATATCATCCTCCATTGCGAAACATTTGATTGAGACGGGTCATAAGGTCGACATCAAATCAGCATTTGTAGTGTTATACAGAAGCCTTCAAGGACGTATACTAAGGTTTATTGAAGCCTTGGCTATACAGAAACTGAAACCCCCTTTATGTGTTCAAAAACAATTCGTCCTTAACCTTAACACCTACCCTGGTAATACTGATTTATTATCCAGAGTGATAATCACATTTTTTGTGTACTTTAATATTTTTCCTTTTTTATAACTTACCTTTAACCTATCTAGTTGACCTTTTAATTTTCATACATTCAAGTATATGTGTGATCAGATTGTTCGAAATGTATTGCGTAAATATATCACATAATTCTGATAAACTTCGTCTTCTCATTGCATTATCGAAATTTATCAAAGAGACTAATTGTTTTAAATTTTACATTCATAACTAACCATAGAAATTCTTCTGTTGCTTTTTCAGACTACCTTGATTAACATACGAAACTACAATAAATTGTTGGTGTGATAATGATCTTAATAAAACGGTGTATTATTTACATTTGTGGATAAATACAATATTCTATGAATATTTTATATAATTATCTTTTATATTAGGAGCCAAATATTCACTGTAAAGAGATTACATACGTTAGTGTAGAATTTTTCGTGGTTACAACACAGTTAATAATTTTTTTGCGTTGATAGCTAGTGTTGTTTGAAGCGTGTAATACTAGAGATAATAGGATGTTAATAAAAAATTTATTTTTCATTGTAGGATTGTGGGAACAGTAGAGCAACGAGTTAGCGGTGTATTTGTGGGAATCCTTGTTGCGCTTTCAATATTTCTTGGATCTATATTAAGCAACATTCCATTGGCTGCACTCTATGGAATGTTTTTATACATGGGCGTAATGGGATTGAGAGATTTAACATTTGTTTTAAGGATATGCTCCTTAATGAAACGTCGAAAACACTGGGAAGATTGGGAATGTGTTCGTGGTCTTCCCAGTAGGCATATACTAATCTTCTCACTTATTCAAGCTGCAGTTGTCTTAATTCTAGTTTCATTGAATATAATTTCTGATTTTACAGTAGCCAACTATGTTGGTCTTATCTTTCCGATCATTATTCTCATCTATGGCCTTATTCGTGAATTTGCACTGCCTAAATGGGAATGGTTGGCGTTATATTTACATCAAGTATGCTCAGTTATTTTACTTTTGTTTGGTTTTATAAAGTATAACCGATGTATAAAATGTTTGTATTATCTATCCCTTATTTTCAATCAGTATATTATTGTCATTTAAGTTTATGTTCGTCCATTCCTTACATCTACAATTCAGCTCTTCTATAAATTGCTTAGAATTTACTAGTGTTTTGTCAAGTGGAGAACATTGGCATTAGACCAGAGTGTACATTAATTGTTCTCAATAAACAAGGAAATAACATCTTTTGAATGAAATATTCGTAATTCATAGACAATAATTCACCTGAAATAATAAAGCATTTTATGACAGCCCAGTGAAAAGGATTTTCTTTTCGACAATATCACTTACGTAGGCTGTACAACCGTACTTATGGTTAGTTTGCACAAGCAAGTACTGGATTGCTGAAAAGTTATCAAAAGTTAGTCAAGAATTCAGATCTTAAGTACAAGTTATGTAGTAGTGGAATCAGTTAACTGAAAATAAAGTATAAAAACAGAGAAGCGTGAAAGTTAATTTTCCACTTGATGAATGTACAGAAGAATTAAACACATGTCGAAAATTATGACAGGCTAGGATCAGCGTAAAGTTGGTAGTTGGATACAACAATTTTGATTATAAAAACCAAGCTTTATTGATTGAATACCCTAGTTTCTGGAATGTATACACTTCTAATCCAACTTATCTTAAAGCCAATACATTTAACTCTGACGATAATTTTGGACGAAAATTCTGATCAGTTTCGCTCTTCACACTCTATGAGACTTGACAGTAATAAAACTTAATAAGTAACTTCAACTTTTCAAACATCTTATTAAATATATGTTGACTTTTCAAGGTAGACAACTTGAATAAAATTTGGATTGATGAAAACTATTGTAAAAACTTTGCAAAAAGATAAACGATTCAGATAATTATGAATCATGAAAGTATGCAATAAGTCAGTCAGCTACAACGTGGGACCAGGCACATATATGCATTGGTCCAAGTTGCCATACCGCATTAGCACAGCAAGACGAACACCGGATTCATAAGAGTAGTTAAGTCAATGGTGGTAATATATAAAAGAAAGATTCAATATAAGGATACAGCACAGAAAGAAAGATTCAGTACGTAGGAAGAAAGATATGAAGCGATTTTAATCTCTTAGTTTAAGGGAAGACAGAGAGTGTATACACCTCCACCATTGGGATCAATTCTGAGTCATGTGATCCACAGTCTCCAACCATTGGTTACGATAATCACGTGGAACACAACCAAATAGTTTGCATCTACTAACATGGCTCAGACCAGATGTTAGTGTCTTCAAGCTCTGATGCCACGTTTTGGTTTGGCCGCCCCCCTAACTTTCTTCCAACCATCCCCAACACCGGTTAGCATTGCACACCGTAGTAATCGGTGTTCAGGCATACGTAACACGTGGTCCAACCATCTCAGTCGATGAAAATTCACAACCTCATCAACTTCAACAATCAAATGCAATAAACAAAATATTTGATTAGATAATATTAAACTTGAAATGAGAAATGATAATTATTACATACATATCATTACTAGAAGGGGTTTTGTGGATAATTGGTAATTTCAATAGTCGAAATCATGAATCAGTTGAAGCTGGACTATCACTGGACGGCCGTTTCGTCCTAGTATGGGACTCCTCAGCAGTGCGCATCTACGAACCCCACGCGGGATTCGAACCCAGGACCTATCAGTCTCTCGCCAGGCGCTTAACCAACTAGACCACTGAGCCGGCATCGAACGGTGTTAATGTCTAACTTCAAACAATCCACGAAGTTGCGTCACAATCACAACTATTGAAATTACCAATTCTCCACAAAAACCCTTCTAGTAATAATCATCTGCTCACTAGTGACTGACTTCAAGAGATACTCCTGGAGTTCTAGTGAGAAGCCGTGACTAGTGAAGTTCAACCAGATCTGCTGTGAGATATCAGCTCACTGAAGACAATGGTGACGGTGGCGCAACTTCGTGGATTGTTCGAAGTTAGACATTAACACCGTTCGATGCCGGCTCAGTGGTCTAGTTGGTCAAGCGCCTGACGCGAGACTGATAAATCCTGGGTTCGAATCCCGTGGGGGGTTCGTAGATGCGCACTTCTGAGGAGTCCCATACTAGGACGAAACGGTCGTCCAGCGCTTCCAGGTTTTTCATGGATGTCTAGCTTCAATTGATTCATGATTTCAACATATATATTATTCATTAACTGAAACAGTTCACTGAAAGACTTTTCCGACCATAAAGTATACAGATAAAAAAAATACTACACTAACCATTTAGATACTTTCCTTCATGATTACTAATTTTAAACTTTCTAACCAAGTTCTAGTTAACAAAATATTTTTTTTCCAGTAATCATATCCCTCCTCTAAAAGTTTATTTATCTTTCAACTATATTCATTTTCATTTCTGATAAACAATTATATCAATCATCGTTTTCTAAAATTTGTCTCTATGTCAAGATTGTCTAATAACTTTAATTAAATTGTTGTACTCCACAATTTTCTATTAACACCTTGGTTAGGGTGTAATTCGAAGATATGTAATTGAGCAGGTATTTAAACAAATACTTTGTTTATATTATCAAGTAGTTTAATTTTAACTTGGTATTTATCACAGATTGATCCTATTTAGAGAGCCATTGAAAACGAGAGAGTGTAGGTCAAATGTTTCGTCCAAGTATGGAATTCCTCATCAGAGTGTGTTTATTACCTCCGAACTCAGTGATCTGATGGTTAAGTGATTTGTATAGGACCTAAATGTTTTAGGTTTAACGCCTAGTGGAGTCTAGTGATATACACTAATGAAAAGTCTCAAACCATAAAAGAAAAGGCTTTTCTGTTTTCAATAGTACTCAAACTAAGATTATTCTGTTTTTAATATCATCTTCACGTTTACTGATATATTTTCAACAATGATGAACTAATGAAATGTCAAATTACTGGTACCAATAAATTCCAATAGCATAAATAATTATGAAAAAACCCACAAATTCCATTTTATGAAGCTAATCGATTTAAAGAATACTATAAAGTTTATGACCAAGATACTCGATCCAGAAGACCCATGTAAGTAAAAATGTGGTTTACTTCAAATAGGATTCATGTGTTTAAAGAAGTATTCAAATCTAGTATATTGGACAAGTCAGTATTTTTTTATAAATTACCAAAATTTCTTCAGTTCATTTTATATAGTTGGAAATACTATAGATTAAATACTCCTCAGTAATGATTATATTTTGATCAAACGTTTGTGAAGACTTAATTTTGAAAATATTTCACATCATGGATTAACTTTTTCAAGACAGCCGTCGAAAAACAGTACTCATTGAACAGTTTCTTTAGCAGTGGGTTCTAAGATGAGTATTTTTTTCCAATATGAGTGTAGCTTAAATGCTATGTACGGATTTCTATTTAATGGAAAAAATCAGGGTTTTATTTTATTAGAAAATCTTTTCAATATAGAGTCCTGATAATCAAAAATATACCTCGTTATTTACGCCCACAAATTTATTGTTCTATTCGCCTCATACGTATTACGAATCCTGCTCCCGGTTTATTGAATTTTCGGGCTTGTTGTTACTTTAGAAAATCTCCAATTTTGTCCACTACCTCAAGTTACACTTTTTAACTTTTTTTAATTAGTGATGATCATACTGGTTAGAATTTAGCTATTGCTATCGTGGTAATTTTATGACATAGTCTGTGCCAATCATATATGTGTATATGACAGTGCGATAATAACATTATACATACTTGATTTGCATAAATTTTTGATTAACAAATTATTCTTGAAACATCAGATACTTTCAAGGAATTATGAGCTAACTCTTTGCGAAAAAAGTCACTTTTTTCATATTGAATAAGAATAGAATATGAAAATCCCATCTTTTTGCCTAGAGAAAACTAAATCAATTAATAACCACACTTACAAAAATGACTAACTTCAATAAGGAGTCTTGCAGATTCTGGTAAACATTCATGGCCTGTGGAGTTAATTATCTACATTTTGGACTATTGAATAATAACTTGGTAGTTTACATTTAGTGTACTCCTTAAAACATTTGAAAATCCTACGACTGATTTAATATGGAATTACGGATATCCATTACTCAGCGATCTCAATTTAAGTTGCTTAACTGTTGGATACCTGAAGAAAATAACTCACTTTTAGAGTAACAAAATAGTACAATGCAATTTATAGTTTTTTCTAATGTCCTTTCACCCTTATTATTGTTCTATCCTACGTCATAAAACTCCTCAATTGTTTATTTTCAATCCCTCATCTTGTTATTCATTTCAAGTAGTCAGGTTACGTAATTAGCTACACATTGTAAATCTAGTAATCATCTTCTTTCTCTTATGATGATCTTTTGAAAATAATTCATCTCTTTATCTTCCTTTTATCTCAGTTTCACTACTGTATTGGCCGATATTTCTCTTCCGTGTTCAGCTTGATATATTATCTAAACGTTTTTTTACTTACATCGTAACCACCTAATGTAAATGAGGGTTTGTTTGTCTGTTTGTTTTCCTAACTGACACTTATTTGCTTATTTATATAAGTAAAGAATCAGAAACAATTAAGCATTATTAAAGGTTTGAAATTTCTCGTTGTTCATATGGAGAACTCCAATTGAACAGTATTTGTTGCTTATTTGCTCCCCGAGCGGATCACCTTCATACAACATCTAGTAATAAATTTGAGCGATAGTCGTTGGATTCAAGTTATGACGTGAATCTCAACACAGTGGTGCAGGTACATTCAGCTGACGAGCCCTAAATACCGAATGTACTGCAAGGATGAGAGGTTTATGAAGATTGTTCAATTTGGACACCCATTTTATTCAGAAAAGCAGTGGAAGGTAAGAACCACTGGACAATTAATCCGTTTAGTAGAGTTCAACCATATCGAAACAGCGTGACGTCATCAATGACTTTTTATTATATTAGCATAATAACGCTAATTAACTGAGAACCACTAGATTCAAATTCAATTGTTTAAAAAGGAACACTGATAAAGAGTTCCACAAAACGGAGTTACATTATTTGTGTGGTTCATTTCGGTGTACAATATATTCAAAATTTCTGTTTTTTTATAACATATTACCCTCCATTACATAATTTTCACAAAGAATATAAATATGTTATGAAATAAATTAAATCAAATAGTTGAATCCATAAGTTAGTTGAAGCTAGAACGCCATGAAAAACCTAAATCCACTGGACGACCGTTCTACCTTAGTATGGGAATCCTCAGTAGCGCTTATCCGCGAGACTCGAACCCAGGACCTATCGGTCTCGCATGTGGACGCTTAACCTCTAGACCATTAAGCCGGCCGATATCCAACGGTGTTATTGTCTAACTTCAACTAATCCATGAAATTGAACGACGCCACCACCATCATTGTCATCAATGAGTTACTATCTCACAACAGACCCAGTTGAACTCTACTGGTCACTGCTTCTCAATAGAATTCCAGGATATACCTCTTGAAGTCAGTCACTTTATGAATAGGTATATTTAATTTTGAACTTGAATTACCCTTAAGGTAGTATTATAATAAACATTAGATTTTAAATTTCATAGAATTCTACTTCTTATTTTCTATTTTGCTTCAAAAGATTAGTTCTGTTTTTGTTTCACATCCGAAAAAGAAAAAAAAAAGAAAACATCATGTTTACATAATAAATATTAGGAATAATAGAATTTACGTAATCCATTTGAAAGAAAAAAAAAGGTTCACTACTTATTGGATAAAGTTTACAATAAAAAAAGTAATTGGAAAATCAAATAATGAAAATAAACAGTAAATATATATATACTATCAGTTGCTGTAATATTATCATTCCTGACATAAACAGTTTGGTGTTCTGTTTTCCTTTGACCAAGAAAACAATGTAATATGATTGTAACAAAATAATTCATTCTTGTGTATGTTTGTGTATTATTCCATTCTTAATATATATCAGTTAGTTAATATATGAACTTACGGTTTGATGGTGAAGATTTGTTGCTGAGGTGGATGATTTTGATTTTTTAAAAATAAGTACTGTTTTCAATGGGTTTAATTTAAATAAACGCCTATGTTTGAATATGATCACTTTATTCTTGTCGATTTGGTTATTTTTGTTGCATATCATGGAATTTTACCTCGGATTTCCTTGGTAAATTCGACTTTTTCTAACTTCATCACTGGCCCTATCAAACATGTAATTACGTAATGAAATGGCTCTTAATTTGCATAAGATTTTCATTGCTATTATGATCAATAATAACCATGATGACTTCACTTTTCCGGATTGCTCATTTGTGATTCTCTCTTAAGATTTATTGATTAAATATTATGTAAGAATGTAGGAAGAACTCAACTTGGAATTTATTATTTCATATATATGTACCACAATATACTAGTTACTGTAATATATTGCTAATGGATTTCTAATCGATATTCAAAATTTTGATTTTGTTAGCGCTGATTAGTTATAAAAAATCCTATATATGTAACCTATTTAATACTAATTCAGACAATTTCTGACTAATCAATGCATTCTATAAGTACGATAAATTAGTTACTATATAAAATACCCACATGATAAGTTTCTTCTTAATTTCAAATTTTAGCTTGTAAATAAAGCTTAAATTTATAATTTTCAGTCAGTTGAAATAATAACCTAAGTAAACGGAATACATCCATTAAAACATTAAATAAGAAAGATTAATTCAGTGAAGAGTTCTCTTTTCGACGAATTTATTTTCAAAGTATATATATATATATATATATGCGATTGTACAGCTTTGAAAAGCAGTTCACCAAAAAGAGAATTCTTCGCTGAACTAATCTTACTTATTTAATAACCTAAGTATTAACATTTATAATTGTAACAATTTTTTAATATAACTAATGATTTGAATGAAATTACTTTGTTTATAATTCTATCAATGTAATTAACATTCTAGTAGTGTAGTGATCAAGAACACCAGTGGGGGGACAATCGAATGTATTAGAGCACAAAATTACAGAGTATCTCAATAAAATCTGTGAACCATATAGTAAATCGTTAATTTGCAAAATATCAATCATCATATCAAACTTGACTGTTCCTGTTGTAAACATCAATTCATTGTCTCAGATTTCATTATTCATGCGTTTTCATACCAATTGCGTTCCGTTTTGTTCCCGCTCTTTCTTCATCGACCTTCTACTGAAATACATTTTATGCCTGACCACCGTCATACACCACAGTAGTATCTTTAAGTCAAGAAAATTGATTTATTTCTATGATAGTGATCTAAATTGAATGGTTTATGTTTTTGTGATTAGAAATAATTCTTATTTACGATTAACTGATCATTGATCACGTACACGAAATCTAGGATCAGAATTTCTTTCCTGGCTATTTCCAATCATTTAAGAATTTATTTTATTAATACTATTTATATCACATATTTTTATGTTGTATTGTTTTTTTTTAGCTTGATCGTAAATATAAACTACATCCAAGTGTTATGCGTAAACAACCATCAACTGTACGTAATTTATCAACAATACGTAAAGAAAGTGTTGGAAGTTTTGCCTCGGGTGGTTTAACTGTTACATCACAATTAAAAACAAATAATTTTATTGAATATATTCACGATCATGAAACAGCTTCATATAGTGATATTAGTGAACATGAAGATGGTGTAGTTCGTCGAACTTGGGCAACATAAATTCAATAGAAACGTATAGAAATTCATTAATATAAAGATCAAATATTATTTACATATTTTTCTACTGATTACTTTATTCATATATATATATATATATATATATATATATATATATATATATATATATATATATATATATATATATATATAATTCAATTGTCTGTTATTGTACAATAATTGTGCAATATAACAAATAATTAAAAAAAAACAACCTAATACTATCAATACCTCTACACTGAACTATAAAATTTATGATTCTTTTCACTTATATCTTCACTTAGTTTGTATCCTATCAAAAGTTTAATTAATTTAATACATTTCCTTTACTACCTTGTCTATCCATTCTATTCATATACAATTCAATATGTTTGTTAATTCATGTAGGTAACTCTATTCTACATATCCTTTGAGTAATATAATTCTATAAAGCGAAATTACGCCTATCCTACATGCCGTTGATATCGATATATATATAATCCCATTCCACTGTATCGCTTTTAGTTTTCACTCAATTTTGTGTTATTTTTTAATTTTCGCAAATTTTTGATCTAAAAAAAAAATTATACAATAATTCACTAGGCTTTATTTTTGTTTTGTTTTTAAAAAAATACAAAAAAAAGAGAGAAAAATTTCATTATTAAATTGTTTTACAACATTTTGTTTTCAATCCTGTTGATCTCATTCATTTCAATAATTTTACTTTTCTTTATTCTTTTGATTTTATTTTTGTTGTTTTCTTTTACATAGTTGGCAGATTCAATCAGAACACTTCTATATATATATATTTATATACATATACTAATCTATAGAAAAATATCATTTCACACTTACCAGGTAATGGTAATAGTTTGTTTACATAGTTTGTTTGGAACCAAGAATATATATAAATATAGTTTCAGTGTTTCTTTACGCTTTTCGTGAATTTATATATACATTATACTATGCATTGAAAATACTGTTGGAATATTAAAATAATACAACTATTTTGTAATATATATATATATTTATTTATTTATTTACATATAAAATTTCATTGATTTCAAGGTTTCTTTCATTGTTTAACAAACTATACTGTAATAATATTGAGGAATATATTATCTAACTCATGATGTTCAGATGTCACAGTGGATACAGTTTATTCGATTAGTTATTTATTTGAAGTTCTGCGTCTTATACCTTAAAATTTCAGTCACTCAACATGAGCATTTAACAGCTAGTTAGGTTCTAAATTGGTTTACTTCATAATATACGTCTCAGAATTTATCCTCAAGTCAGTGACTACTGAATATATGATTGTTATTTTTTATATAGTTTATGTCGAGTTATTTATTTTAAAGATGGTTCCTGTCAAGGATTGATGAGACGTTCTAAATAATGTACAATTTGCCTTGGTTTTTAACGACCGATGTTTAATAACTTGTCAGCTACTTTTTTATAGTAATGAATCGTAAAAACATTTTATAGTGCGTTTATTTTGTGTAGACGTTTAGCATTGTAAGCTTATCAATACAGTTTACTTAAACATATGGAGTAGTTATATTGGCCGCACAAAATGAGCTCTTTTAAAACTCACCTCTGAATATTATCTTGACTAGCTTTCCAAAGGATTACAGAAGTTATTCAAAAGCTCAATCTTGGAGTATTTAGTTAATTTCAACCAATACACTTCACCAGAAGCCTCCTTCAAAATCACAGACAATAAGAAGAGTCGATTCAAGAGAAAAACCTATATACAGCAGAGACTATTGCTTTCCACTATTTTAAGTTTGACCTTCCATGGTCTTAACGTACCTCCCTATCTTCCAAAATCTATGATTTTTGAATTATTTTCACAACTGTTAGTTAGCAATTATCACAACTCTTAATTATTCCGTAATTAACAGCTATCAAATGAAGAATTATCTTCACTTTAGTTCATTTCACTAACCGATTAACACATAACTTCTTTTCAATATCTATCCTAAGGTTTTTTGAGTAATTAGCACTTTTCTAACTTATTATGGAACAGCTCAAATTAATTATAAATATGATATTGCAACTTAAGTAAATGAAATAACCGAAATGAAAATTTTCTTTTCTAAACTTTTTTATGAATCACTTTCATTATAAATAATTATCATTGAAATTTTTACCATCATTTTTAAATCAGTAAAAATGGAAGTAATTTCAATGATTGAGTTAGACCACCATGGAAAACCTGAAAGCACTAGACGGCCGTTTCGTCCTATTGTGGGACTCCTCATCAGCGCGCATCCACGATCTCCCCCCGTGAGATTTGAATCCAGAACCGTTAGATGCCGGCTCATTGGTCTAGTGATGAAGCGCTCTTGCACAAGACTGATCAGTTCTAGGTTCGAATCTTGCTGAGAGGCGGGACCACGGATGCGCACTGCCATTGAAGAGTCCCATACTAGGACAAAACAGTCATCCAGTGCTTCCAGGTTTTCCATGATGGTCTAGCTTCAAATGACTCATGATGTCAACCATTGAAATGACTATAATATCCACAAAAAACCTTTTTGATATAAAAATTAAAGTATCTAAATAATCACTGATCTACAAATTTAGAAAATCGTAATAAATTATTAAGTTAATACGAACATACATATTGAACATTTTGAATGACTTATTATTATTAATAAATATTATACTATTTATCAAAATGACATGAATATGTCATGGTAAATAATAGTAAAACGGAAATAAGTAATTTTATAAAAGACATAATCTTTTCACAAACATTAATAACCGAATTTTATTAAATGAGATAATTTAATTGATTTACATATAGGACTTCCTAAAAATGATTCAATTTACTTTTGTGAATGAAGTAAATCGATTAGTGAACAGTGAATATGTAACATTGATTAAATAAAGATAAAATTGATATAATTTCCATCATGTTTAAATCTATTCTTTAATGATAATGTCCAAATCTATTTGAGTTTGTATATATATATATATATATATATATATATATATATATATATATATATATATATATATATGTTACTAATTACTTTATTTAAAAAAAATCGATATGAAAAGATTCCATATCATAATATTGTTTTTTTTTTTTGGTGAGACTATAATTTATTAAAGAACCAATCACATTTAGGATAACAGGTCTTGGATTTTGGCGCAAAATTTATTTATCCATTCGTCATAATAGTGTTTTGGCATTATAGTTGATGTTAGTTCATGATTAAAAACCACAAATCTAAATCTTAATCTTTACTATTAATTGTAAATGATTGTCTTTATTCTTCAAATTTACTTACTTACTTACGCTTGTTACTCCTCGTGAAGGAGTATATGTGGCTCACCAGCATTCTATATCAAACCCTGTCCTGAACAATCCTTTACAGCTCTCACCAGTTCTTATTCATCCTTTTCATATCTGATTCTACTTCCCGACATTATGTGTTCTTTGGCCTTCCACTTTTCCTCTTCCCTTCACGATTCCAAGTTAGGGCTTGTCTCGTAATGCAATTTGATAATTTCCTCAATGTATGTCCTATCCATTTCAATCGTCTTTTCCTAATTTCCTCTTCAGCTGGAAGATGGTTGGTTCTCTCCCGTAGTAGGGTGTTGCTGATGGTATCCGTTCAATGGATGTTAAATATATTTTGTAGACAACTATTTACAAATACTTGCACCTTCTTGATGATGGTTGTTGTAGTTCTCGAAGTTTCAGCTTTGTACAGTAGAACTGCCTTGACGTTCATATTGAAGATTCTGACTTTGATATAGGTTGACAGACAGTTGTTTTGAGTTCCATATATTCTTAAAACTGCTTTATAACATTTATTTAGCCCTATTAAGTAGGTAGACACTCTCAACGTCACTTTGATATCGTTCAAATGTCGTTCATAAATTATAGTCTCACCTTGTTTTCAACTAGATCTTTGTGAGCGAGACCGATTGGTCTTGGGTTCGCATCCCTTGTTCGGGATCGTGGATGTGTACTACTGAGGAGTACAGCGCTTCCAGGTTTCCAAAGTGGTCTAGCTTTAATTGACTCATGAATTCAACTATTAAAATTGCAATAATGTCCACAAAATTCCCTTTCTGATGATTAGATATTTGTCATATTCTAATCTTGTATACGGTAATATATTTATTTGTATATGTGTAACATTTTAAACCAATCATGGACATAAATAAGACTGTAACATAACAGTGATTATATAACCAATCATAAATAGAACATTACATGACCGGTGTAGTAGTAGTTACCAAAAGAATAAACATGATAATGTGAACAATATTTAGGTATAGGAAGTAGGTCAAAATTTGTGTAAATTAAATTTTTGATTGAGGTCATGAACCGATCAGCGTTAGACCACCATCGATTCGTGTGATAAAGCTGTACTGCGTACTGATTTTATCTGCGGGAGAAGATGCTCTATAGTTTGTTAACTACGTTCTCCGTTAGTACGTCTTATATTACTTTTTCTTGAAGGGCACTTCAGTTCGTGAATAAATGCCCAACGTAATATTCGAAGCGGGTAAACTAAACTTAGAGCGAAAGAATTTGCTTCATTTGTTCATTAAACTAAGAAAACTAATCATATTAAGGAAAAATATTTCTAAATTGAAAAATCGGAAAAATGGGTACTTTAGTAGCCTGATGTGTTCGCTTGTGGTGACGGGATCACCATTTTAGTGGCCCGTGATCTGACTCCAATTTGATCGTAATGATTGGTTGCTATCGTCTATCCTCGTATATAATCATTGACTTAAATCGCGTTAGTTAATAACGGAATTAAATAAGTCAAATAACGAGAATGGAGTTTTGAATGCATATATTTCGTATAATTGTTGATTAGACAAACGAACGGAGGAACGACGCGAAGAGAAGAAAGCGAAGCAAAATTGACGAGCGGTGGAGATGGCTGGTAAGCCAACTCTCCCTTTAACAAAGAGTTAATCAATATTTATAAGCCCACAAAAATAAATCACAGACATGTGATGAGTAACGGGATAAGAAGTGTACA